AATCTATGTGTTATTCTGGTGTCCAGGCCCTACTCTCACATCTTGAACAGAGTCCCTTTAGTATTTCTTTTGTATAAACTGCCATTTTGGAATAAGTTAACTACTTCTAATCATAACATAGTCAAGCAGTTTTATTGAAGCTGAACATGTGTTTTTCTGTGTGTTTTTTTTGGGGTGGGGGTTGTAGACAAATTTTCAGATGTGTTTGGTTTTAAATTTTATTTGTTTACTTGTAGCTGAGAGCCCTTTCAGTTTTTTAATTGACAAAGTAACTCCTTAAAAACTTTGGATTAGTTATCTAGTGCTTTATTAAGAGAAACTTGATACTGTTTCTTGATAGCCTAATAGTACTCTTACTTGTGTCCTGAAAATTTCCTGTATCATGTTACCAAAAAAATGTGTTTTCTCTAATGTTATAAATAGATGAGAATGAGTTTGACCAGAAAAGATCTTATTTCTCAATCTAAAACCAATTTATTAGAACCTTCTTTGTGGTAAAAATCCATCTTTCTCTTAAAAGTAAGAAATATATTTTTGAAATTCATATTATTCTGAAAATTATAATAGTAAATTAATGTCTGTCTATAGCATCTGATGTGCTGTGAGTGTTAGAAGTGCAACTAAAAAGCGTTCAGGAGTAAAGAATTTGTTGTGTTTCATAAAAAAATAGTTGTAAAAAGTGTTGTAACTTTGAAAAATAGAAACTGTTGTATTTGTGGAAATTGCTGATACTGAAATGACCAAAAATGATATGATAATTCTTAATAATTTTTTAGTATACATATACAATTAAAACATCAAATAAACAACATAGTTTAATATTATATATTATATATACATAATATATATCATTAATTTTATTATATATAAATATTTATATTATAAATCTTATACGTAATCCATATATGTACAAATATTTATATTATGTAATACACACTATAATATATATACAAATATGTATGTATGTATTGCGTATATACACACACACAAATATGTCTGCTGAAAAGAAAATGTTAAGGGCAATATTGAAAGCATGATTTTTAAAACTAGTAGTTTTTAAAAGCATGTATCTTTACTTCTATGTTCATACTTATGAAAAACACACTTCAGCTTTAGCTTTTGCTAAAAGTGCTTTTAGATTTTCCCATTTGCAAAGTGCTTTGGCATGGCAGAAGCTGTAGCCAAACAGGCCCTTAGTTTATGATCGTTGATGGGATCAAATTTCAATTCTTTAAGGTTATCTGTCAACTATTACTTCTAGCTCTTTTTTGAGGGAGAATGTTACTTCTAATTTGGGTGCTATGCAGGATAATAAAAAGCTTTAAGTTAAGCCTTCTAGGGGTTAATTGGTGGTCTTGACAGGCTCAGTGGCGTCTTAATTACTTCTCACTCTTTTTGGAGAGTGAATGTTACTTCTGAGTTAGGTGTAATGTGGGATACTAAAAAGCTTTAAGTTAAGCATTAGTGGGGTTAGTTGGGTGGTGGTGACAGGGTTAATGGCTTCTGAATTATGGGCTTATGCAGGGAGTGCCTCTTTAAGTTTAATGGGGACAATTTACCCGGTTGATTTTGAAAAAGAAATAATATTATAATGGATTAGTTTTGCATATAAATTTAATTCTATATTATACTTGGCAAAAGCTTGACCCATTTAGTTATTATAAAGAGTAGATTTGAGCCCGTAATAGTTTTAATAATTTTAATTTTGACCTCTGTCAAAGCAAATTAGCTCTGCTTTTGGGCATAGCTGTTTTGGTCGAAAAGTGATTGCTTATAAGTTATATCCATCCTGCTACTTTTGGGGTTATTTTGATTTGAGAAGAGAGGACAAAACAGTTTTGACATTCTCCATTCCATGGATTCTATAGTTTCAGACCCTCTGTTTTATGGTAAGGGTCGACCTTTGACTAAGGGGGAACAGTTGAGGGATCTTATAGTGTCTTTAACTAATTTACTGCAATTACAAATCTCTTTCTATAGGGTTGGCATCCTTTTGGTGCCTTGTGAAATAAGTTACGCAGTAATACATTGTAGCTTAATTTTTTTAGGAGAGTTGGAAAATGGCTTTTGATGGAGAAAGAAAACTGCATAGATAGAAATTTGGATCTTGGTGTATTTTGGCCCGTTGGATTATGAATTATGGATTTTTATTTTCCACTTCAAGTAGAATGATTGAATTTTCTTTTGTTTTGTCCTAAAGGTTGCTTTGAAAGTACCTGTGGTAGTTCGTCTTGAAGGCACCAATGTTGAGCAAGGGAAGAGAATTCTCAAGGTAAGATATAATTATTTCTGGAGATTCACACTCATAAGTATTAAAAATTGATAACAGTAGTTTTTAATCGACCACTATTGGTTTTTCAGGAAAGTGATATGACACTGATAACAGCAGAAGATCTGGATGATGCTGCAGAGAAAGCAGTTAAAGCATCTGCCAGTTGAGGACCGATACATGCGCCTGTTCTAGTTTTCTCGCATTTTAAGAACTATTTACAATTTTTTATCAAACAAATCCATTTTATCTTGTTAATAATGAAAGCATAGATGAGGTGTGATTTTTTAGCTGACTTTTGAGGTTGACTTTCGCAGTTAAGAAATCTGCAGTATCTCACCTGATGTTTTAAGTGTGGTTGACTGCAACCACTTCTGTTATAAAGTAATTTCATCTCAAGGAGTTTAGAGCTTGTTGGATCACAAACGAGGTAGCCAATGTTACTGCTATTTTTTGAATGTTGTTTAATTTTTTGGAGTTTTCTATGCATATCCAATTATTGTGCCTCCAATAAAAATATAGAATTCTTTACATATATATACATATATTTGGATGTCCAGAATGTGAATAAAATTATTATCTGCAAATTAATTTTACATTTTCTTTATGAAAGTTGTTTATTTTAAACATAACTGCATACTCGAGATGATGAAGCACTAATTTTGCTTTGCCATTCAGAAGCAAACATTATTTTTGGGAGAGGCAGAAGGAAGCTATGGTATCCTTGCCTAGAGATTCTTCTTTTTCATTATCTCTGCAATCTTCTTGGAAATGCAATAAGCTGTGGATTGGATGGTGATCATGGGATTGATACCCAATGCAGTAGGCAGAACACTTCCATCGCAGACAAATAAATCTTCTGCTTCCCAGCTTTCACCATTTTCATCTACTGCACCTTCTTCCTTGGTGGCACCCATCCTACAACTTCCCATCTGATGTGCAGAAAAGTAAGTTGTCCAGTTCTCTCCTCTGGTACTTACCCCTCCAACTGCTTCTACAGTGTCAAGAAATTCCTCTAGCTCTTCCTCCCTGATACCATCACATCTGATTTTCTGGCCATCACTGCGATATGTGCCCACCTCCACAGCACCTGCTGCAACTAAGATTCTTAACGACTGCCTCAATCCTGCCTTAAGATTTTCCTTATCAGTCTGGCTTAGCCGGTACTTAATCCTTCCTTCTGTCCTCACCTCTCCCGAACCCTGATCTCTGACCAAAGTGAAAAGATTTGCAGTTCGTGCATATTTGACCATCCTGTCCTTGGTGTCTAACCCTGAAACCCAAGGAATTGCTGCAGCATATGCAGCTGGTCCCATTGCAGGAGTTTCCACAATAGCCTGAACATTAGAATCCTCTGAAATGACCTTATGAATTGAAGTGATAATCCCTCCTTCGTGCATTTTGCCCTTAAATTCCGAATTTTGTTCAGGAAAATATCCCCAAGCCATTAACACAGGGTGAAGATGTAGATTCCTACCAATATTTGGGTTCTTCAATCCACTTGAGACCATCAAAGAGGGAGTCAATAGAGATCCACAAGCTGAAATTGTTACTTTAGCCTCAATTTGCAGCTTCTTAGTTACCTTATTATTCATAGTAGCTGCAATCACTCCCAAACATTTTTTTTCTCTTACTCCACTGTTGTTGTTGACCAGTATCAAGTTTTTAGCTTTGCATCCTGTCAAGATCACTGCGCCGTATCCCACAGCATCCACCAGCCATGTCGAATCAGTCCCTTTCTTGTTCCCAGTTCTGCATCCATAGGAGCAGGAACCACAGTAATGATCCTCGGAGGAATTTCTTGCAACCAGATCAACTTCCAAACCAAGGTTCTCACACCCTTTTCGAAGAACTTGATTCTGAAACCCTTCCTCACTGCATTTATCCGTAACACCAATCCTCTCCCACACAGCATCCATGGCAAACTGGTAATCAGGGCTACCGAAAAGTGGGATCCTATGATCTACTGACCATTCGTGGAGAATTGAATTTGGTGTCCGAAAGGATGCAGACCAATTAATTGCAGAACCTCCACCCACAGTTGAGCCAGCAAAAATTATGAGTTTGGCATCCAGAGTTGATAGAAGTCCATTTGACTCAAACATTTCGATCATGGAAGGGCCTTCAAGAGAAGAATAGTCCTCTGCCACGAAATAGTTACCTTTCTCGAGAACAATCACTTTGTGCCCAGATCTTGCAAGATTTGCAGCTGCTACGCCTCCACCGCAACCAGAACCAACAATCACAACATCGCATTTGATCTTCAAAGTGTTGCTGCATGAATCTTCAGTGACCTGAATACCCTTTTCAATGAGAGATTCCTTGATTGTTTGGTCAGTTTCATATACGGACTCGACAATCCCTTTTTCAAGAGGTCTCTCATAGCCGCCTGTCCTCTCTCTCTCCCTCTTGTCTACCTCGTAGCCTATTGCTTCCCATGCAGGATTTTCTGAATTTTCATCCGTCTGCTACGGACAAATTACATCAATTTATTAGGAATAAATTTTAAGTTTTATGTTTAGTAGTAAGTGTATCTGCAATTCATTTTTCTACTCTCATTGTGGTCATAAAATAAAAATACATACGACTTTAAATTGATTCGATTCAATTAATATTTTGAATTTACCAAACAAACCGAAAACTACACCGATGCCAGACAGCTGGCTTTGGTGAAAAAACCATAATTCTAAGAACAAATGACTCAGACCTCCACTAACATGTTAGCATTAAATTGTTGACGTTAAGGAAATTACCCAATCCACCAGATCTACGAGTCAAGTAATGAATGAAAGTGGAGACTGAATATCTATCTATTCGAGTAAATGGGAATCCTCTAGGCTAATTTTAGCCATGCATGAAAAGTTGTACTTGGGGTATCCATAATTATACCCATTAACAGAGTAGGTTGAATTCTTCATAACTTATTTAATTGGTTTAACGGGCACATGGTACCTGTTTGATATAGATAGCATGTACCACATATAAAAAGACTACATGTTCAATAGGCTAAAAGCATAAATAGGTAAAGTGATTCCATGTCGAAATTGGATTATATATAATTTATAAGCTATAATGCTTCGATTGGGCTTGTAATATTAATTTTATGTACTATTTTTAGGTAAAGGTAAAACACAAATACCAATGTCGTTTTGCTTTTCGTTTATCTTATCCTCTGTCATTTCATCATTTTATTCCCCCCAATAGTAAACCAGGAGCTTTGAAAAAGTAAACGATTGTTGCCCAGACTAGTGGTGATGAATCGAGACTTACCCTGCAGAAGAAGACGAACAAACAGAAGACTTTTATCATCAGAAAGAACATCCTTAGAGGCACAAAGTAACTCCCCTTCGACCATTTCCTCATAACTTCTTCTCTTTTCTGTACTGAAATTTCAGAGAATTTGTGGATGAATGGCCATTTCCACTCAACACAAACTAACCCACAAAGCAATAAGCTTCCCAATCTAAATGACAAAACCTTCAATACCAGGCTGACCAAAAACACTGCTTCCGGTAGACTCCTCTTGGCTATCAGCTCTGCTACCTGTTACCAAAATCAACAACGGAAACAACTGCTGATTACCATAATTCTTCTCGTGTTCCATAAACAAGGAAGAGAGAGCTAAAAAAAGGAGACAGATCGAAAAAGTTTGAAGTAGACCCAGAAATAACTTGTTTCTCAATATATTAATTACCAAAAATAGATTAGAAGACAAAAAATGAGATTGTATTAGATAGCTACCGAGAACGAAAACCCAAAAGCATTTTTTTGTCGATTTACGGACCTCATCGGGGATTGGATGTTGAGAACCAGAGGCCTTGTAGTAGGAACTGAGAGCTGGTTTCTTCTGATTGGGTATGGAGTCCGTTGACAATGGCGGAAACACAGTTTCGCAGAGTGCAGCCAACGATTGGATCTGAGCCGAAGAGAAGCCATGACTGTAACTTCCCTCCTCCTTTCTCCATCTCAGAAGATGATGACCTCTCACTCTTTCTTCCATTGATTTTTTGTTTTTGTCTCCTTCTCCTCCCTCTGTCTCTCTTCTCATTCCTGTTTTTGACTCTCTCTATTCTTGGACCCGTCTAGGCTGTAATATTTATAACGATCGTTACAAGATGTCCAAACTACTACAGAAGCACAATCAAGATTCAGTCATGTAATTTTTTTTTTTTTTTCACATTTTTTATATTATATTTTCTGAATTTATATATTTTTCCTTTTTATATATATATATATATATATTTTGTAACTCATACTATATTTATTATTATTGTTGTAATTTTTTTTAATTTTCGTAAATGGTAGCTAACAAATCGCTTCGTATTTAAGAATTAGATAGGCATTGATCCCTAAAGCTTTACGGAATCTTTTTTCTAATGAGAAGCTCTAAAGAATATTTAATTTATATACTTTATTAAAATTTCATTTATTTAATATAATTAAATAATTTAATTTAACATGATACAACGGATCCTCTTGTGCAACACACGCACACACATATATATATATATGTATTTGTAAATTACAGGTATATAATATTTTCCTAATAGAAACTATATTAATGGCGATATTTTCCATAAAAAGAGCATTACATTACCATGCGCAATTGGGTTTGGGATAACCTTTCTATTTTTAAAATTAAAAATTAGGTTTTTTAACAAATGTGACAAACAGTGAATAGATAAGAAACGTATACATACACGGCTCCGTTAATTGCAAATAATGAACGTTGTACTGCTAAATTATGATTAAAATCGATGGGAAAATGCGCACTCCACATGTTAATCTTGTACAGATTTGGGGTTTTGAGTATAATCTTGCTTTAATTTAAATACGTAAACACGATATAAAATTATAATTTGGCATTCAAAGTAAAATTAAATTATTAAAAGAGACTTAAATTGGCAATTAATGGAGAAATTCGTTGTTACCAAAAACTATTCACTGACCAAAAGCTCTTATTTATACACCCAGCCAGCCAAGAGGAGATCAATTACGAGTACTGATATGACAAGGACGAGTATTGATTAAACATTTTATATTTTCAACTGGGAAATTCTTTTTTTTTATATCTTTTGTTACAAACAAGTTTTAACACATGATTAATTTTACATATACCAGATATATATATATATATATATAAAGGTGAGATTTCTCGACCAGATAATGGGTAATCCTTACCACTAATTTAAGTTTGACACGATTAATTATAATCTATATGAAACGTAAATCATAATTTCTGTTATCAAATAAAAATACTAACCTGATATTAATGAGATTATAAAATTTTAGTACCCGTCAAAATCAACGACACACGGCTTGCATCTCACACCTCCACCTACATGAGTTGATGGATACGTTACGTTCAGAATTAACGCCGTTATGAAACGGTCTATTGATTAAATCTCAGAATCAAACAGTACCCCCCAATGCTACTTGGATTCCTTGAGTTTTTATTGCAATCTTATAGCCTTAAAGACAAGTATATGGACTTGCATGCCAAGAGACTAGGGAGGAGGGAGACGATACACTGAGATCACGAAGCAGATGGAGCACCGAGGTCAGTCATGAGGAAGTTGAGCTGCCTTCGCAAATGCAGAACCTGTCATAAGCATGTACATCGCAGAGACATATTTAGATACGTGCAGCTTTAGTATTATAACAGCTATTGGGAAATAGAAGATATATATATATATATATATATGTATGTATATGCTACTTCATTTGTAAGCTATACCTGCAGATACAGTGTTGATTCCTCAGCATCCGTTAAACTTCTTTTAAAATAATAGCTCAGAAACTATTAAAACACTAGTATAGAAAAGCCAGCAGAAACTCAAGAAATTATAAACACACACTAGTAGGAAAAGCTATTAGCTAAGGGAATGTTCAATTCTAAACCATATTGATCACTCATCATTAGTTTGCTAAACTATATTGATTGCAAGAGCACTTCAAAATTCAAAACAAGGATACCCAGTAGTGATAAGGGCATGCTGGTGCAGGTTCCACGTGTATGCAGTCAGGGACAGTTTAATTTCCTATGGAACAATCTTCCAATAAAATTCAACCACTATAAAAGCATTAAACCAGTAAGTTCCATTAGAACAAAATGCATTTCACTTGGCACGGTAAAGAAACTCTTTTTCAGTATCTTAATGACTGGGAGATTGATAAGATGATTTCCACATTGGAGGTGTGGCAGCTGATAGGAATTACCCCAATAACTTTGAGTAATTTTTGGGCGATATTAAATGAAAGGACAGAGAAGTTTTTGAGGACCCTTTTTCTCCCTCTGATATAATTAGAGTTCTTAGGCTTTGGACCTTCTAAATTTTGTTTAAAGGTCTCTCTCTTTGACAGATATGATCCAGGAAACCTGATAGTATTTTGTCACTCTTTTGTGTAAACTCTTATACTTGGACAGCACAATGTTGGTGCCTTACGAACAACTTTCTTGTTCCTATTTAAAAAGAGAGAAGCAAAATTAAGAAATCTAATAGAATATGGCTGTGCATCTTCTAATACAGTTCTCTTTTAATGTTTTCCCTACATCAAGGCGTGCAAATTACAAACACAGGAGTACTCTTGTTTGAGCAATATGGTAGATGCATGTGCTGAAAGGAATGCTAATGAATATTTTTATTCTAATGTATCCAACATTCAATAAAATTATTTACAAAGATATTTCATTGGATCACCCTGTAATTTTACACATAAACCATGGATTGATTGTCAAAACGTTTGCACTGACTATAAACACGTAATATTTATATCCTGGGTCAGTTTAGGATCAATTGACAATTGCAATTTGCTAGCAAAACCAAGGTGTCTTGGGATGGAAATGACAGAGTTAGAACGGTAACTATTTCCAGATGCAGGCTTACTTAAGCCAATTCCAGAACCCCCACCACAATTGGGCCGATTTTCTCATTAAATTTTATTTAATTCCTTCTCATGGCAAAACAAGTTATTGGTCTCTATCAACCAAATCTCTTAGTATGCCCACTTCTTGCTGTATCTCATCCTTTATGCAGCACAATCCAGGGCTTGCTTGAATCTATAGTAAGTGATAGAGATGCAACTTTCAAATGTGCTTTTTGGCATGAGCTTTTGTGTTTGTCTGACACCAAGCTCTCCTTCAGCTCCAACTATCATTCTCAATCAGAAGGTCAAATTGAAGTGATGCACAGGACGACTGAGATGTACTTATGCTCTTTCGCTAGTGATTGGCCCAAAACACTGGCTAGATTGCATTGCTAGGGAAAACATAGCTATACCACAAGCTATAACACTTCTTTGCAAATCAACCCTCTTTCAAGTGCTATATTGCAATCCCCTACCAAGGCTTCTTTCTTACCCTATTGATACTAAATTGGAAGAAACAGACTATGAGTTGCAGAACAGAGATTACTTTTTTTGGGTGGGGTGGGGTGGGGTGGGAACCTTAAGAGATGGTCTTCTACACGCAAAAGCTGTTATGAAAAGATTCTATGACAGTCAGCACCAGGAGGTGCATTTCAACATTGGCAATCAGGTACTCTTAAAACTTCATCCTTATTATCAAATCTTCTTAGCCTTTAAACAGTTCCGGAAGTTGGCTCCAAAATTTTATGGCCACTTTTCCATCCCAGCAAAGATTGATTGAGCTTCTTATAAACTGAATTTGCCTCCATCAGACTGTATCCATCTGTCTTCCACATGTCTTTTCTGAACAAGGTTCACAAGACAGACAGTAGAGCCATCCTTGCCTCCTGTCCACTTGGGAGAAATTGTCTGAGTCTGCAGGCTGTTCTAGACCAACGCTCCAGGAGTGAGCAATAGCAGAAATTATTTCTTTGGGGAGGTTTCTCTAGTGGTTGCTTCATGAGGAGACTCCTTGGAAATGCCCCAAGGTTATCCTCCTTGGTGAACATAAGCAAGCACCTTTTTGAAGGGGAATAATAATATTACATGTCCATCAGCGAAAGAAGAGAAATGGTTCACCGGTTTGGTATACAGCTATGGGACCCATTGGAAGCATGAAAAGAGCAATGTCGAAGTAGGTTCCAACTAGAATTGCTATTTAGGGCATCAACTTAATTCAGATGCAATCCTAGATTCCTATTTGGGCCCTAGGACTTGGGAATAAATAGCAGTAGCTCTCCCTATTAATATCTAATTAAATCACAGAATAAAACATCTTAACTATTCTCATAAAAGTCAAAATATTCTCTAGGAAAGGCTTCCCTCCAAGAAACTTTAATCTTAGGTTGTAAAGGCCAAAATCCCAACAAGCAAGCTTCAAGCTTGCTACTTGACTTCTTTGTGAATAGACCCGTGAATAGATCCCAAGTTCAGAACCCTACTGTCTAACTTAAAAAATCTCAAATAGAGTTTACCCAGGAAACATCAGATAGAGCGTTTTTCATGTCAAAAAGGGAACAGAAAATGTTGATTACTTAAAGAAAAAGAACATGAACTGTGACAAGAGAGGCCGGGATGATTCGCAGAATAAGCATTTACCTCTTCTTGAAGCAAAGATGGGAGACTGTCAGTAGAAGCAAGAGTTTTAATTTGTTCCCGTAGCTTCTCTTCTTTGATGCCAGACCATGTACTCTCAGGTAGAGCCAATACAAGTACTGTTAGGACATCACATGCTGATGGATGCATCCATATGCAACTGCTTGGATCAGTGTTGCAGTTACACCTAGGTTCTGTTTGAGAGGAAGGGACCAGGACATCAACCTTTTCTCGGATGCCATCAGTAACTACAGTCCCCGAAACCACTGTTGCAGGCTTTTCATCATCAGATTTTATGAGTTTCAGGTTTGTTCCTTTACAACAAAATCCATCTAAAGAAGCAGCTTTTCCAGTCAAAAGTTGTGCTCCTTGGCAACAAATATTAACAAAAGTTTCAGGTAATGTATCCCGGTCATATAAAGAAATCATATCTTCACAACATGAACCTTCAAAGGCCAACCATCTGGCCACATGTTTGCATAGTTCAGTCTCTCGTACTTGTTTCAATACTTCTTCCTGCAACCCCAAACCTCAAAGTCTCGGCATCAGAATTCTCTACCACCATTTTCCTTTCCAATAGAAAAAGAATTAAAAGTCAACAGAACTTTTGAACATAAATTTGCATTCTTTAAAGGAATGGACTAAGATAAATATGATAACATATTGAACAGAAAAGACAATCAAGTATCTATAGAGAACCTTGAGAGAAAGCCTTTGTTTTTCCTCTTCTGTCAACATCATACTCCTATCCTCTTGTCTTCGCACCTCTGCAACCCATGTGATGAACTCTCTCAGATCAGCAGGTGCTGATTTGAATACAACAGAGAGTACATTCTTAACATCTTCTACATCGTTTAAATTCAAAAGCAGTGGAACATCCTCTGTCAGGTATTTTACAACATTATTCGAAGCCTCATGCCTACAACTCTGCAAACAATTTACAGCAATAATTTTCAGCACGAAAAGATTCAAAGCGACCTAAAAATAGAAGCAACACAACTAAGAAATGATACGAAAAAATAAAAGAAAACTTATTTGAGAAAGAAGATAGGCAACTTTACAGAGAGAATTATATTCTACAGTAGACCACGAGGAGAAAAGGACAGGCAAGAATATTACCACAGAGTACAGAATGGATGGTGATTTCTGAAGTCTTGAAATAATCATGAACCTGAAATTTGAAAGGAAGCAGACGTTATCCTAAGTTGAACTTCTTGACTACTGCAATATCAATATCAAGGCTTCTATGAAATAGCCAGGTGTCTTCATTAATCAGAAACAGATATACATTACAGATATCCTTTCGGCCGTATAAGATTCAGGAAACCATACCCCCTATGCTGTCCTGTTGCTTCATCAACAGAATCCATGGCCTCCCATAGAAGGGCAAGAGGAACCCAGTGAGGGGGATATTTGAATCGAGCAACATCCAAAATAAGAACCATATCGCTTCCAGCATGATAGCCCCCAATTGGTGAAAAATGACCAGTTCCAGTCTGAAGGAAAGAGCCATAACTACAAACTTATCTTATTTTAGAGGGTAAGTAAGCGTGCTGGAAAATATTAGAAGGAAGAGAAGCCTATATCCTTAACATGAAAACTATAAGATGTTTTAAATTGCCAAGATGTGAAAACATAGAGCCACTAAAGGCAAGGAGAATAATTACAGGTATTACCTGAGCATTAGCAAGGCTTTGGCTACCACTAATGGATATGACTATGGAAGTAATGAGAGAATAACCAGGTCATTGCAAGATTTAACTAACTAAAGTCAAATGACAGTGTATTTTGTCTTGTTCAAAGAATGAGGAACAAAGACTGTATTAGAGGTAAAATTTGTAGACTCTGGTGCAATTTCAATACATCTGAATAATTGCTGACTAAAAATTGAAACCCCTTTATTAGCTAATATGACTACTTGATGTAGAATAGATTAAGCTTCCAGATCTCTAAATATATTAACCATCGTTCTTTTAAATTTAAAACTGTTTCTACTACTTGAGAGTATTCTCTAAACAGTTCTTTTCTCAAAAAAGTTTAGTCAACAATCACTATAATATCTTCATAATCTTATTTTTGAAAAGAGTCAGTTATTTAATAGAGTTCTTGAGAATTTTCTCAATCAATCTGGTCATGTAATGCAACCAAATCCTTAAATATGATGCTTAAAATTCTTTAGGTGTAATATCCAAAAACCTTGTGGAGTGATTTCTAACTTATCAAATCCCTACTTAAGCAAATAAATCCTAATTTATCCTGCATTAATTGATATCATTAACAAAAGCTCCTGCACCCAACAAATCTTAAAAATCCACTCCAAACATTACAGTCGTCTAAGTTATCTAAAAAGAAAGAAGTAAACCCCAACCCACTCTATCAACCGCCATCTTAGATCACCCACAACCATTTGGGGTTGACCATCGAAACCGCCTTTATCAACCTCAGACATCTTTGACCGACCTATACATGGATCCACTCCCGAAAAACTGCCATAACATGCAACAATAGGTGGAAAGCAAGCAAACTGGTAATGCCTCACCATATGGCCACCATCCATGAATGACAGATTACAGGGAGCCTAGATCTGCAGCCACTCCTTCAAGCTAAGTCTATCCTCGGAATCTTGACATCCTTCAGTGACTGGAGACTGACATGTGGGCCCCATCTCATGAGTCACAATGGGAGCATTGCTAAATCTGATTTGTTTTGACTTTTAAATAATGATTGACCAAAATACTTCTAGCTCAGTCTCTTCCAGACTGGTATTCAGCAATTCAAAATGGTCTCCAAGAATTGTTTGGCCTGCCCTTCTCGTTCTTATAGTCATTTCACCAAAATTACACTGTGTCTTCTGATGGAAATATTTTAAATACATAGAATCTTGAGGAAGAGAACAAGTCATCATTAACACTTGGTAGAATCAGCAAGTCTTTTTTTTGCTGTAATTAAGTGCAACCAAACAGTTAAAGCGAAAGAAGAATAGAAATAGTCTCCGAATTTTCGAATCCTAGAAAATAATAGAAATGTAAGTAAGAAGTTTGTTATTCACGAGGTTGTTACAAAAACCTTGTTTCAATCTCCATAACTAAGCAGCTCAATCTTTCAATGCAATCATGCAGACTAGCTTTGATAGACAATATAAGTATTTCAATAACTCAGTAAATTCTTAGTTCTATTCATCACAGTGTCTACTGTGATATAATCCAATGTAATGCAGTTCCTACAATGGTCACATATGTTCCTTGAGGGGGACCTTAGCTTTATGATCTATATGTGCAGTATGAACATATGGATCTTATATTTGACACAAAGAATGTAGTTTCGAAACCTATGACTACAGCAGAGATACATAAATATCACTGCCCACAAGAGCTTACTGTCAATCAAAGAATAAAGAGATAGAACTCACTGGACTGGAGAAACAAGACTAATCATCACGTGTTTCTTTTTTTTTTTTTAAATAAAAAATGTCAAATTGTATAAACATGATACCAAGAACCGGGAGTACCACCCATTTACAAAACTTTACAATGTAATTAGTGAATTAATGACATGTCCAAAATCTAAATTACTAATCATATCATATCCTAACAATAAAAACACAAAATAATACAACAATCTATCTATCAACGTATACAAATCAGCTACTTTACCCTCAAAATCTCTAGAATTCATTTCTTTCCAAAGCACCCAAAATATAGTTAATGTAATAATATTTTTCAAATTTTTCTCTAAAAGAATCCCTTCCCTCGCCCACAAGTCCTCCTTTATAGACCCAGATATCACTCAACTAATACCAACAAAGCTGTAAATAGCACTCCAAAGCCCAAAAGCCACCAGACACCACATCAGAATGTGCATACAGCTTTCCTCATTCTTCATACACAGATAGCACCGATTGGGGATGATCAAACCTCTTATTTTTAATCATCACGTGTTCCTAGTACTCAAGACTTTCAACCTAAATAGAGTTCTACAAAAATTCAGTGCAAGGAGGATAAGGATTGGATCTAGTGATGCTCATTGAACGTAAAGCACATAGTTGTCTATATGTTTACTCCTTCCTGTCTAAAGGATTCCACATTGCCAAGCAATTATCCGTATTAGTATCTTTGGTTTGAAGAACTTGACCGAGCACAAAGTTTGCTAGATCTTCATTTGGAAGCTAGAAAAATAAGATTTTATATTATTCACAATCTCAAAACTCGTGAATGACTTTTTACCCAATCAAGGTACGATGATGCAGATGGATTAGGTTTAGACTTTATAACTATAATAGAAAACATAGTTTTTTTCTAAATATAGAACTATCATACCGTTTATGAGTCTCTTATTATTATAATAGTAACTTTAAGATTTATTTTTTTTAAGTACTTAATTTTCTTTTCATATTAGAATCAATATTTATTAGTTTAATACTATTCGGGAAAGGTTAATTATCAATCGCTATAAGTACCTCTATAATCTCACTTTGGAAAAAAGTCCAACCATTCAGTAAAGAGCTCCTAAGAATTTTCTCAATCTTTCTGGTTTTATAGGGCAACTGAATCTTTAGAATACTCAAGAATGAGTGAGCTTGTGAAACCTAATAAACTCCATTTGTGATATATAGATTTTATCCCCAACTCCCTATTAGGTACATTACCTTAATTTGTCCTATATCACTCCTTCGATGCAAAACCTGAATCAGAAAGGGGGTCTTATAGCTACTAGAATCTCATCTAATAAGTATCTGCATCCACTAACCTCTCATACCTTTTTCTTCATCTGTTAACAAATCATCTTGACATCTAACAAAAGACTTACAAAATTTCTGCTATTTGATACATAAGAAAGTACAGAGATACTCCGAAAACCATAAAATTAATGATTAACTGAAGATAAAGAGGAATCAGCTAGGATACCTGCTTAAATACGGCTCTATGGTATGAGACAATCACATGGCAGTCCTCTGAAGAAGCACAAGAAATCACTTGGTCGCGAAAATCATTAACTGTGCATTCATTTGTCCGAAAAGCTTTAACTTTAGCTCCGTTGCAATGAGCCAAACATGCAACTTTCCCAAATGTGATACCTTTACTTTTAACCTTAGACAGAGGCTCACAGCAATCCAACATGGTATCATCAAACCATCTCCAAGGCCCTGCAAAAGAAAGTATACAAGCACATGCCAATACAAATGTGTTTTCTCTTCAAGATATAGAAGGAATCATATATGAGAATCATGACATCAATTACAAGGTCACATGATAAGCCCAGGACACAGGATCCAAGCAACAAATCAGAAGCCACAACGCATGCCAAAAGCAAATTATATTTTTAAGGAATTGTTTACAAAATACAGCTATTAGTTCTCTAACACGAGCCCTTATGTACGAGATATACGCATTTACCGAAACCGTAACCCGTCCGCTAGAATCTGCTAGCATCAGCTCTTCAGGCGCACTGAAGAAAATACTAAAAGATACTGTTTTCCGTATGACAAATTTAACAAGATTTTAAAGAGAGTAGAATGATCTCGTGATTAGACTAGTCTAACTGAAAGCCAGCGAGGTCTGAAAGGAGTTCAGTAAAAGTTAGAATAGAAGTAAAGTCAAACTAATAAGAGAGAGACCTTTCCATTTCCTTCCAGGATCGATACTGAGGGCATTCAAGACCATGGCTAGAGTGGCAAGGCCACAAAACGCAGGCTCTGATTGCGTTTGGAAGTAGGATATCAATTTGAAAAAACCTTCCATGCTTCCTTCTTCTAAAGCTTCTCTGAAGAGTTGCTGCAGTTTCCATGCATACACATTTTCTTTCAATCACTAAAAGTTCAATTTTGCGTAAACAAGTACACACATCGAACAAACAGAGACGGACGTAGAGTTAGGGGAGTCAAATTAGGGATCGGACTTGCCTTGCCTTGAGGTGAAGCGAACTCGATAGCAGGAGGAGAGGGAAGGACTCTCCTGTAAATACCGGCTGTCGCCATTTCCCCTTAACTTCTCTTCTAAGAAATATTGCTGCTAAATGGATTCTGTTGTTAATCGTTCAAGTCTCTTCTTCTCTCTTCTGGTACTGAATGGAGAAGATTTAGCAGGGTTGAAGAGTAGCGTACATTCTCCAAAAAATGAAACCGTAGCTTTTCTCACTCTTTTTCTTCACTTGTTGACCTTTTTCGCGTGCGGATATCAAGTAGCGCTATATATATATATATATATATTTCATGCGCACGTAGATATCCCACAATTTGTCATGTATTTTTCCCCATAGGTATAAATTCAATTGGATAGAGTAATTTCTTTTAGAAAAATATATTAGCATCCTACCAACACATATAAATATATTTTATTCAAAATAATATATTAATTGATAAATGTAAATATATTAGTTTCCTAATTTTTCTCTCATATATTTTTCTTTATTATTTAATTTTTTTAAAAAAAATAAAACATGTAATGTTCTCTTTTATTTTTTCATTATATCATTTAAAATATAAAATATAATATTTTTTTTTAATTATTATCGACAACTTTTAAATAAACTTATCAATTTTTCTAAATAAAATTTTTACACCGAAATTTTAAAAACAATATCTGGTATCAAATCTCGAAACTTAATTTTTCAAATGTACATACGCAAAGAATTCAATGGCTAAATGTAATTACAGTTCATTTTTAATTTAAAGAGAATGAAACCAAAATCTGTTTCATATTCATGACGATAGAGAACATAATCGAAAATCACAGTAATACAACCGTGGCCGAGATGAAGGGCATCAATCACAAATACTCTTTTTTCCTGTCAACTACTTATTGAATAAGCTCAGATACAGAGGCAGAGAGTGCAAAAACGCACTAATATATAGGCCGAGATCATGTCAGCTTACCAATTACATGTTCCACACATGAAGAACATAACATGTGTAAACACCCTTCAATGAAGGTCATGTAGTGCCGTTGAACTTGAATTAAGAATCTACATTGTTGATAGGTGTCTTCAAAAATCAAAATGATATCCTATGGTTACACAAGACTCAATCCTGTCGTACCCGGATGTTAAT